GTGAAAAATCATTTTGTACGTAGATCACATTAAAGCAATATTTAGTTTACTAATTCATCCTTATTAAATGTTTGTATCTCTGTATTTCTTGAATGATTCCTTGCTGTTCCGGGATGGGAAAAAGCATGGGTGCCTGGCAGCAGGGCAGGCCCCAGGCTTTCTCCCACCTGTCACTATAGTGGGAAGATCCTGCTGGGGCCAGGGAGGAAAAGATATGGATGAAGTTTGCAGCTGCAGCTGTTCATCTCACCTGGCAGAGCAAAGGAGATGGAGCTTCCGGCACTCTCCTACTCTGAGAACTGCCTGTTTAGTAAAATTCTGCTTGCCTGGTCAATGGTGGCAGTGTTTGTTCCTCCCACTGGGGAGCCAGGCAGGGTGTAGTGCTACAATCTAGCTAAAGGAGACACATCAGTACAGGGAAGTCAAGTGTCCACAGGGAAGAGGAACTGGGCTTCCTCATTCAGAACCAGCAATTCCCCTTCCCCTGCCCGTCTTGCTCTCTTCTGTCATCTGTATTGTGGGTCAAGGTCTTCCAGGTGTCTGTCAGCACCGTGTGCCCACAGCGAGTGCCATCCATGTGCTTTTGCTGTACTGCAGTGCAAAGACAGCCCCTTCCTACCGCTCCCAGCAGCAGGAAGGTGGCAGTGCGCTGCCTGCAGCTGCATGCTGGTCAGGAGCTGGGGCAGGCACCTGTGCACCAGCTCGTCTGGGATGCGCAGAGCAGCAGCTTGTGAGGCATCCCATTCCCTCCCTCCTTGCCCAAGAGCAGAAATCACTTTCCATGTGTGAAATGGCATTTCATTCACGGGCCAGCTCGAACTCTGGGTAAGTTGTAAAGTCAAACACAGTAAGAGACAAGTCTCTCCCATCCCTGATGCGAGTGGCTGCAACAAACGTCATGTTGGTTTCCCACCTGAACAATTATTTGATGTTATTGTCAGTGTTCCTTCTGCCGTTTAAGTGCCTCTCTTTCCCATTTTCAGCATCTCCACATTTAAAACTTGGAAAAATAAATCTGAAGTGAAATAAATTATGTCTTTACAGCTATAATGCTCTTCTGGGTTAAAGAGGAAGCTGTTTGGAGCTGGAATAAGTTCATATCTATGCCTTCTTATTGCAATTATGGTGGGATCAACATGTACTGCAGTATGGGAGGGATGCCATAGATCGTATGCTATGCCTCAAGAGGCTTAAGAGGTGGGCTCGTGCAAACCTCATGAAGTTTCTTAAGGCCAGGTGCAAGGTGCCACGCCTGAGTCAGTGCAATCCCAAGCACAAATGCAGGCTGGGTGGAGAATGCACCGAGAGCAGCCCTGAGGAGAATGACTTGAGGTGCTGGTTAATGAGCACCTCAATGTGAGTTGGCGGTGTGCTCTTGCAGCCTGGAAAGCCAACAGAGGGGTGGCCAGCAGGGTGAGGAAGGGGACTGTCCCACTCTCATGGGACCCCATGTGGAGAACTGCATAGAGCTCTGAGGCCATGAAAAAAGACATGGAATTGTTGGAGTGAGTCTGAAGGAGGCCACGAAGATCATCAGAAGGCTGGAGCATCTCTATGTGAAGAGAAGTTCTAAGAGTTGGAGTTGCTTGGTCTGGAGAATAGAAAGTGCTGAGAAGACCCCAAAGCAGCCTGTCACTACCTAAAGGAGCCTGCAAGAAAGCTGGAGAGGGATTTTTCACAAAAGTATGTAGTCATGGGATAAGGGATAATGGTTTTATGCTAATAGATTTATTTAAGATATAAATAAAAATTCTTCACGGTGGTGAGGCACTGGACTAGGTGGCCCAGGTACCTCCTCCCTGCAAGCGTTGGAATAGAGCTTTGGGCAATCTGTTCTAGTGTGAGGTACCCCTGCCTCTGGCAGGAGGTGGAACTAGATGGTCTTTAATATTCCTTCCAACCAAAACCATTCTATGATTCTATGATTTCTTGAAATCAAGAGTAGTCTCTGTCCCAAATGCCTACAAGGCACCACTGAGGAGATACCAGTTGATGTTTCAGTTGTCTTTCCATGCGAGCAGTGTTGAAGGTGATAACAGAAGCACCTGCTCTGGTTTCCTGTGTCAAAGAATGCCACCCTGTGGTAGCTATTCTTGACTAACCTACTTGAACCACTTCCCAGCAACGATACCAGGCTTTCTGCAGATGCCTAAAAGCCAATGCAAAGGAATTGCTTTGGTTGGAAGCTTTGACTGAGCGCACGCTAAGTTTGTGGGTGATACTAACTTAGAAGGAGCTGTCAATTCCCTTGAGGGTAGAGAGGCCTTACAGAGAGACAGTGATAGATTAGAGCTCTGGGCAATCATCACACATATGAATTTCAAGAACAAATATTAGATTCCGCACCTGGGACAGTGTAACCCTGGATGTATGTACAGGTTGGGAGACGTGTGTGGAAAGCAGCCCTGCAGAAAGGGATCTGGGCATTTAGGTTAATGATAAGCTCAGTATGAGTCAGCAGTGTGTTCTGGTGGCCAAAAGGGCCAACCCTACCCTGGACATGCATGAAGCTCATTGTAGCTAACTGGGCCAAAGGTGTGATTGGCCTGCTCTGCCCAGCCGTGATGCAGTCTCGCTGTCTGTGAGTACTGTGTGCAGGTTTGGATGCCCATAAGTCTCTTAAAGAGCAGCCAAAGGAGGGCTACAAAGACACGGAAGGCTCTAAGGGCAAGGTGTTGGAGGAGCAGCTGAGGTCCCAGAGTGAAGGCAGTTGAGGTGAAGTTACAGAAGCATTTGGCCAATGCTTATAGATGCATGGTTTAACTCTCAAGTTGCCCTGTATGGACTCACTCAGGTGTTGAACTTGATGTTCCTCACAGAACCCTTCCAGCTCAGGCTATTCCGTGATTTAATGATTCTATCATTCAGTCATGTTAGGAAAAACCAGTGAGTTTCAAGATGGGCAAGATGAGCCATATGAGAATGTTCAAAATTACTCAAGCACCACTCTATCAGTGAAAAATGAATGAGAGCAATTGCTGAAAATGCAAGTTTATGATCACTACCTGATGTTTCAATCTGCATTTTGTTTTAAAATGAGAACAGAATCACCAGAGAGAGTGGGGCTGGAGCTGTGGGCATGTCACAGGAGCCCTATAGACTTTGCTGGTCCCTGTGTTACAGCACTGTTACGGCTGTGAGGCTCAGCAGCAGGTTAAATCATTTCCTGAGCTATATTTGTAATTCCTCTCAAGAAGGAGAGAGGTGGAGATGAAGGGGGGAGAGGTAATGCTAATCTGGATAATTTTTTTCCCTCCGAAAAAGGGCTTTGCATCTCACCAAGGTAGAGAACATCTGATTGTAACTTCTGAAGCAGTGTCCATTGGTCAGTGCTGTTAGGTGTCAGCTTGGAGAAACCTCTGTCCCAGATAAGATTCCTGGTGTGACTCACACCAGCGTAGCCATTTTATCAGCGTGTTTCCCCAAAGCAGAAAGCAAACTACCAGGAACATACTACTCAAAACCACACACGCTATTCCTCCTATAAGGAAAAGATGCACATAAATATTCCATACAGAAAAAGAAGTGGAGGGCAGAATGACTTGCTGTTGAAGCAGCAGAATGCACAACGTGCTGTGCTATTGGCAGAGCCCCTGGGGAGCCCAGGCTGTGATGAGCTGGAGCCCTGCTCTGCAGGGAGCTGGGTGGGGGTCTGCTGCTCCCAAGCTGAGTCCCGATCCCTGCGAACACAGGGACAGCGGGGAGCAGCCTGTGCACGAGCACACCTTGAGGAGGATGGGAATCCTGCCCTGGATATGAAGCGTAACATCCATTTCTGAAAGCATTTCAAATGGTGTTCAGTGTAAATGCCAGATAGGTTTTCTAAGCAGGAACCTAGCGCTGACAGCATTGAATTAAACATCGCGTGCCTTAGCATGCTGTTCAAGGAAGCCTGGCAAATGAGAAATACGGGATAGATTGCATTATTTGTACTCTCATTTTTTTCAGTTTTCAGCTCCTAATAAAGAACAAACGCATGCTGTGCTTAAATGGGGACACGGTGTGGCCAGACTCTGCATCTGCAAGGACTGCCGCTACTTCTGCCTCGGTCTTCACCAGGCTATCCCCTCCCGCAGCTGCTGACCGGCCGCCAGCGCCGGGCACGTGCCCTCGGGCAGGCCGGGTGCCAGGGCTGGGCTGCGCCCCCTGCAAGGCCGCTCCGTGCGCCAGGCCTTGCCGGGCCGCGGGGCAGCGCAGGCCTTTCTCTGCCGTGCCAGCTGGCTCCCCTGCGCCAGGCCCGGCTCCAGGACCCTCTGCGGCTGCCGGGCCTCCGACGGCGGGGAGCCGCACTGGGGGCACCAGGCCTTGAGCCGCGCCCACGGCCCGCGTTCAGCCCGGCTGCACAGAGCAGCCTGCAGACGGGGCCTGGAGCCCGGGGCGCGGGGCTTTCCTGCGGCTGAAAAACGAACCAGACCACGTGCCGTGTGCTCAGCCTGCCAGAGCTGGGTATGACTGCCCTGCAGGACGGAGTTGTGCCACTCGGCCATCACTTTCTACTCAAAAAATACCTATCTATCCGCAAGATAAAAGATGGCACTCAAGGCCAGGCTGGATGTGGCTCTGGGCAGCCTGCTCTGCTGGTTGGCGACCTGCACGTAGCCGGGGGTTGCAACGAGATGAGCATCGTGGTCCTTTTCCACCCAGGCTGTCCTATGATTCTGTGATTCTCTGATGGGACTCAGAGCAGGGAGAATGGCAGCCACGCAGTGCTGCTGCTGCAGGGCTCTCAGCCCGCAGGCTCTGCTCTGCTTCTGCAATAGGATCGTTAGCTTGGGACAGTGAGGGCAGCGTGGTGATGTGCAGAGTGCTGGAAAACCTCTGGGAGTGCTCCTGTCACACCTCCCAGGAAAATGCATGTTTTGCGTCTTCCTCAGAACCTAATTTAAAACAAAAAGATGCATTAAAAATTTTTTTTGGGAGATCTTAAAGAACAGCACAAACTAAATGAGCGTCTGCCAAAATTAATTTTCAGCATTAAAAATCAGCACTGATGAGAGCCATTTTAGATCAAATAATTTATTTAGTAATTCCATGTAAACAGTTCAGCTTTACTAGCAAATACAATGCTTGCTGTTCTTTTAAATAGATCATTCAAAAAAATAAGACTCTATTATGAATGGCAGGTTGACTTCCATACTACTGTACAACGAGGAATTTGTTTTCTAACGAATTTAACGTCTTGATTTTTCTTGTTCTGCGTTTGCTTTACGTAAAGCCCAAAGGACACGCATTCGAACTGCTCCCTGCTGATGCCACTGCTGGCTGTGGTGTACTGGGGAAGTCACTGGGCAGGCAAATCCTCCCATCCTGGCACTGGCATAAGCTGATGTGAAAGTGGGGTGGCGGAACTTGTAATGACACTGTTCAAAAACATGCATCTTTTCATCAGAAAACAGAAAGTGAATGGTGGAGAGCTTTTCTTTGGGATGTATAAAAGCAATGAACTCCGTTGTTGGCATTTAGTTAGAAGCATAACAGTACACACACACATATCCACAGTGTCTGGAAAGCATACTAGGAACTGAAGAAAACAGTGGTTCCGAGGCTTGGTACACCAGTGCACTAAAACCAAAAGAATGATACCTTCTTACATTGTCAAATGAAAAATAAATATCTTTATTTTCTGCCTAATTTATTTCAGTTTTCAAATAAATTTTAAATAAATCTGTACAAAGTATACTGTTACAGTATATATTTGTAAGTTAACTGAAATGCCTAAGTGTAACAACACTACAATAAAGCAGTATAGATTGGCACATCTCTAATAAAGATTAACTTTTACACTCAAAAAAAAAACCAACTCCCATGAAAACCCCTTATGTTTTTTGATATCTTTATGCAAGTTATGTCGCAAACATATTACAGATGAGTTCGCCTCTGTCTCAAAGTCACTTGTAATAGTTTTTTAGAGAAAGTAAACATCTTTGTACTGTTAAAGGGACACTGTCAGGCTAAAAGAGAGATGTATGTGGGGGAAAAAAAAAAGCAAATTTGTGAAGAGAAACTTCAGCCTAACAAAGGGTAAATTTTACGCACTTTCATCCACCTTGACAATGGTTATAAGCAGTGCCAGAGACCGGATCTGCCCCTGCGAGGCCGCAGTGTGCAGCTGCACACCTGGGGAAGGGCCCCAGCCTGCGCCTGGAGCAGTGGGAGCCCCCGGCTGCAGCTCACCTGCAAGCACAGCTCCAGGAACGCTTTGAGCCAATTAGCAAGCCAGCAGAAAAAATGTTTTTTCCTTGTGATTGAGATGGAATTAACACGGGTGCTGGGGAGGTGAGTTTTGCTTTTTTTTTTCTTCCCTTAAAACAAGAACCTAATGTTAATCTGAGAGTGTCCCTTTGCTCAAAATAAAGACTTCTGTACTTTAAAGTTCAGGTACTGAAGCGATCTTATTCACTGCCAACAGGGTGAAAAAGCCAGATACATTTCAAAACTCAAGTTTTCAAACGACACGATCCAACTGCAGTTCATGAGCTTTTGAAATCTTGTACTGTTTCATTAAAAACTCTGAACTGCTGATCGGGGGATAAATATTACAGATTGAGAGTGAAATTTTTCCTTATTTTCAATCTTTCCAATGATAGATTAAATCAGTGTTCACATGCTGAAAGTTAATCTTACATTAGAATGCAGTTCAATATTGGCTGCAACATAAACTTATAAATAAATCAACTACAATAGATTAAACTCTGTTAAATATTTCTAAGTTAATAAAATATTGACAGTATTATAAAATTACAGTATTTACAATAAGAAAAAATCTAGACTAATATATACCTTTAACAGATCCATCCTCCAATTTGGGATTGCCACGGAATTATGAATATATGAACAATTTATTATAAAGTTGCATTGCAGTATAATTTTTCCATTAGAACTAGAGACGGTAATCTATCATTGCCTTTTAAAAAATAAGTGACTTCTCATGGTGGGTGTAGCTTTTGGGTACCAAACGGGTAACAGGAGTCCTCCGCAAGACGTCTGAAGGTAAGGTGGGACCAGCCTCAACTGCTCAGATTAAAGCTGTATTAGAGAACTGCCAGCAATCAGAACCACACAGGCTGCAAAAGGGGAGGAAAGGTAGTTTTCAGCTCAGAGTGTACAGCTGGAAGACTGCCGTCATTATGGACTCCAACTAAGGCTGCAGGAGCTTTGATCTGCTCTACAGTGCAAAACCTTGTCTTTTGTTTCATCGAGATAAAGTTGGTCTTAAAGGGACATGGTTAGGTTGCAGCTATACCAGAAATGCTCTTGCCAACTGTGCATGACAAGACCAAATCAAATCACTTGAGATGCTGTTCTGCTTGCTCTATGGAGGTTGCACTTTTTGGCTCAGGGTGGTTTTGATTATGATTTTTTCATTTTGTTTGTCCAAAAGAAAAAAAAAATTTGGCTGGGACCATGCAGTCAACTCATTTTCTATTCCTTGCCAGCTTTGCTGTTTCACAAGTATTAGCACAGTACTGCAGCATTTGGGTTGCAAACTCTTAGAAAAAAAAGGGAGTCTTCAATTCTCCCAAGCTGATTCGTCTTAGTATAGACCAAATTTTGCAAATTGCCTAAATCAATTGCAGTCATTAAGAAGCGCCAGCTGCTTTTGGAGTCCCAAACACCTAGCAATGTCCTTTTAAGGATCAGATCAGACCTTTCACCTGCCTTTTCCATCAGCCTTGGAGAAAGTGTTTAAAACTATTTTAGGATGGGCAATGCTCAAATTCTCTCCCTCCTCCCCACTTCACGCTTCTTTTCCAAAACAGAAGCCTTGCTTTCTAGCAGAATATAGAGAAAAATGAAAAGAAAAAAAATAAAATCAGAAAAAGACATATCCATACTCAGTTCCCACCCTCCACTCCCCCCATCCTGTTCCCTGTAAAACTGAAATGCCATTTTGTAGCATGTACTTTTGGAGGAATTACTTTCCAAGCCCAAACCTGAAGATGCTTTGTGAGACACCTGCCCACAGGCTCTGGGAAGGTGAACCATGCCAAGCATCTGCAGGAATTTCTACCAGCCTGGTAGCAGGCAGATGGGAACACTGTTGTCCTTAAAAGCAGACTTTAAAGTGTTAAATAATAATTTGTAAACTTCAGTCTACGTTACCAAGAGAAGGCTCTAGGTCCTGCGGGCTCCATTTCCAGAGTTGCAGAGTAGGAAAACTAGAAAGAAAGCTCGGTACCTTTCAATCACCTGCCAGTTTGTACTGGGGGGAGTGGGGAACGAGAGAGACGAAATGACAACTGACCTTATAAACAAAGGTATGTATAGGGCTTCTGGTTTCAGGAATAAACCGATATTTACTGGTAAAAGTCTGCCAAAAAACAAAAACAGAAACACAGGATTACTGGTAAATATTGGTTTATATGGAGAAGAAAAAAAAGTCATAGTGCTCCCGCTCTCCACGCGCCAGCGGGACGTGCTGCGGGACTGCGCTGCGGGCAGAGGCCAAGGGCTGGCCCCGGGCACCCTGCACTGCCAGCAACAGGGACAGGGACACCTCAAACCAGAAGCCACATGTGCACCACAAAGCCAGGTCTCTTTTCTTTGCTCCTCTCAAACTACGCACTGCTTTCCCGGCCCCCCTCCTCCACAAGACTGCCGTTCACCCCGCAGCCCTACAGCGTCTGTCTGGCCGACAGCACCTGGCAATGACTTCACATCGTATGGTATCTCACCGCGAAGGCTGCTTTGCCTCAGCCTCTCGGCTGCGATGGGTCGGCCGTGCCGTGAGATGCCATAAAATATACAAGTCTGAGTGAATATTTGAAATGAAGCATTTTCTTGTAAGTGGCATAAACCCATTCATTTTATTTACATGCTTATTTATTTCCAAAAATAGAGAGTTGGTCCACATTGGACAAGAGAAATCAAGAAGCCATACAGTAGAAGAGTTAAAAGTCCAACATTTAACCAAAGTACAATGAAATTCCAGAATTCTGTGGCTGATTTGAACCACAGAAACATACACGAGCCACACAGACATTTGTACATATAGCATTATATTACCAATAATATTTGCAAACATGAGGTCAAGATGGCTAAGAACCCAGCAAAACCAAACCATGGGCAATGGCTGAAAAGAAGCAAGTGTGAGCAGCCGGCACTACTGTGGGAAAAACACCGCTCTCCAGGGGCCTGGTGTCACCCTCACTGAGTTTTCTTGACCCGAAAAAGTTCCAATTTCCCTTTCCTGGGACCCAAAGGCAGGGAGCGTGCGGGGTGACCTGCAGTGCAGGCTGGTGCATGGCACCTCAGCACCCCAGGCTGCCTGTGCCCCGCGCAGAGCCTGCCAGCGGCCGCCCCGCACCGCACCCAGAGCTGCGAGCTTTCTGCCCCCCTGGGGCACAGCTGTGGGACGGGGCCGTCATCCCACCCCGCTGCGGCACAGCCTGTCTCACAGCCCTCCCTGCTGGGGCCTCAGAGCACCCGGAGCAGAGAGCCGTGGGTGCCTGGGCAGCGCTGCCTTTACAGAAAGGTTTCCTTCCCTCACTGGGGCAGGTGTTGGCTTTGGGAATGCACACAGTCGGCCCTTCCTGGAAGACTACAAATAATCAAGCCTAAATGGATTTATGGGATGAGAAGGGATAGTATCTGACAGATAGTGGAGTAATTTTTACTCAAAGTTAAACATTTTACATGACAAAAAACGCTCAGATACTCGATCGACGGCAAAAGAAAAGAATGGAAAAGAAAGATGCATTATCTCAGTGTTGCAGCCGAGTTTGTCCAAGTGTTTCCAAGGACTTCATCACTATAATACCTCGGTGTCAACAACAGATGGAAAAATAGATTTGAGCCTGTATCTTTCAGTTCATAACTTTCAACTGAAAGTAGAGTGGGCTTCCAGCCCACACATCTGGGCTCTCCCACCAAGAATCACCGCAGGTAAAGCAGGGAAGACCGACGTAGCACTGCTGGTAGTTCTACAGACAAACCAACCCACCACTACCCTGGGCAGAACTGCATAAAAGGGTATAAATTCATTTTCATTTTTTGACATTCAGAATATTAGGCCTAGTCCAATGTGAATGCTAGTAGAGAGCTAGTTTACAGAACACCAATGATAACTGTATGTACCTAAGAGGATTTAAAGGCAACTGTACTCAGTACATTTAGAAAAAAACACCTGTGCCAAGATGCCAGACCTCTGACAGAAGTTAAAGCAGAAGCAGCCGTGCAGTTTTCTAAGTGGAAGGACAGTCCTTAGTACAAGTCACTACTGTCATCTGAGCCAAGAACAGACAGTTTTTCTGCTGATTTGTCTTCTGAAGCATTTCTAACCTCAGATGTGAAACGTTTTTAAAAAAGGTGGGCCTGACCCCATGCAGTTGGGTACACACAGCACTCCCCAGTGAAACTCAGAGCCCAAATTCCTAAAGAGAGAGCACAAGAGATTTTGCGTTTTCTTACATCAAATAACTACCATGCAAGCATACCACGACGTTTTTATACTGTGTACTTCAAAGTCAGCTGATACAATTTCACTAGAGTTGAGTAACATAATGAAATTGGTATTTCTCAGGGAGGGGGACAAAGGTTGTGTCAGTGACAACGGCCAGCTTACCAAGGGAAAACAGCAGAGGAACAACTTGGGAACGTAATGAACGGTATTACATGTGAGTTCAAACACAGCAGCCTCTAAGACATTAGCACCTAACTCTGTAATACACAGTTAATTTCTATGGCACCTTCAGTTCATTTGGTTTTTCTACCCAAAATCAGATGCTGAAGGGAAGACACTCTTCCTCTTGAATGAGCAAGTCCTCTAAAGCCTAGATATATTTCCAGAGCGTCACTGACATTTTTTCTCTCAATCTATTGCCTGTCCTAGCAGAGGCCATTCCCTGCAGCTGCAGACTGCCCACGCCCAGCTTGTGCTCCTCTGAGCCAGGGGAATGTTGGGACGTTCAGACATTTAAGAAGCCTTAAACTGAACTACAGCAGCAAAGGGTTGCTCCTGCTCACAGCAGCTCACCTCCTGGGTCCTTGGGGAGGTCTGCACACACATGCACGCGTATGTGTGTGGGCAGCCTCAAATACAGAGCTAGATGAGACCTGGAAAGAACTGGATAGGTTTCTCTCCCCATACCTTCCCTTTCTGCCCACTACCAAACCAACAACTTTCAGGTTTTTTGCTTGGTTTGGTTAAACAAACAAACAAACAAACAAAAAAAGCTGAATACATCCAGACTCATTGGTTGCTGAGGCATACTATGGGATGTGGCAGCCTTAGCTCAGGGTCAGGATTTGAACTGGGGCTGCCACATCACAGGAGGAATCTAGATGTCGTGCTGCCAAGTATTCTGCGCTTGTGTCTCCTCTTTGGCCAACCAGACTTTGACCTAGATGTGCTCACCAGATAAGTCCAGAGAAAATCAACCCTTTTCCACCCTGCAACTCTGGTTATGACAAATCACTGCCTCCCAAAGAAAACTCACTTGCTCAAAGTCTGCAGATCTACTCAAGAAATACCCCCGCCTCCGAGCCCAGGAAAGTTTCCATCTCCAGCTCAGACTAAGCTTCCTTCTACCCTGAGCTGATCAATATCAGCGGTAGCAAAAGAAGGCATCCATGATATTGATCCATATTTATCCAAATAAAAATCCCCCGATTCTCTGCACCCTGCCATTTGCCAGCAGGTTAAAAGGTTTGGGCAGATTACCTGGAAAACACGATCTTTCCTTGCAGAAGGTACGTTGCTTTCACCCTAGCACATACTGACATGTGATACTACTTTAGCTACTCCTCAAACAAGGAATTGCTGGTCTACAATTCCCAGTGCCCTGTTCAATAATGTCATTATTAATAATAACAATAACATTATTGTTATGATTGTTATTATTATTAATAATACACCATTAGGATGTATTCTAATCATGGAGGATACCAAGCTATTTTTTAAGAGACCCTATAATTACTACTAACTTTAGTGTTCTGTCCCCAGCTCTTTAAAAACTCCTGTGTGGGTGCGCATTGCTCCTCCACTTGGATTTGCTACCTGGCTATGTTGTATTTGCCTCAAAGGTACAAGCTGCAGATACGTTCCTTATCCTTGCCGAAAGCAGAAAGGTGCCTCTTGAATGCACTCCGTGCTCCAAAAGTAATGCCTCCTGCTTTGTTATGTCAGCCCATGATGACAGAGGTGGATGATGGTGGGATGAGAGCAAAGGTTGGACCTTCCGCCAATATCCCGTTACATTTTGTTGCTCCGTGGCAGATGGCAGTAGAAGGGTGGTATGACAGTGTGGCATCTGACATGGAAGTGAGTATGGAGCAAAGGTGTAGAATTAAATTCCTCCATGAGGAAAAAATGGCACCCACTGACATTCATCAGCAATTGCTGACATCTTCTGGAGACTGAACAGTGGGTGTGAGTGCAGTAAGGCGGTGGATGGTGTGTTTCTGCGGTGGAGACAGTGACAGTGGTCACCTCGGCTGGTGCAGATTTTTACGAGCATGGTATGCAGGCTCTTGCGCATCACTGACAAAAATGCACACCTGAGAGCGTGTTCTGTAGCTGAGAATTTGCTCTGTCAGATAGTGTCATTGTGCTCCTTGCATCTGCTGCAACTTCTGTGGAAATTAGTAGGAAACATTATTTTTGGAGCATTCTACGTGACACAAATTAGTGCAGAAAATATGACTGTGTCTTTAATCCTACACGTTTAGATCCTCTGAAGAGCCTTCTCGCTTGTATGCTTAAAATATCGTTTGTTCCTGAGGGTCTCCGGCTCTCCAAAACATCCCTGCTGAACTGCTTAATTTCCACAAATTGAATTTGTGACCTGCAGCACAGCATGGCTCTTCCGGCACTCTTTGGGAGAGCTGGACCTCTGTCTTGTCAAAGAGTCTTGCTCCAGAAGTCCCTCCTTTTATAAATATTTCACTGTTCTGTCCTACACTTCGGCTCTGGAGCTCCTTTGTGACACAGCTCTTCCTAACCTGGGTGTCTGGAACATTTCCAGGTGTCTGTGGAGCTACCTTGACCAGGCTCACAATTTTGCTTTTCTGATGTTCTCCCCTGCAATGTTTTATAACACAAGACTCATTTTTAGTAAAGTGTCTTCCACCCCTGAGGATGCTGAACCTGTAATTGTACTGTGGTCACTGCTATTTAATGACTCAGCTGTAATTATATCTTGAACCAGTTCTTACGTTTTAGTCCTAAATCAAGGCTAGCTCTACAACAGGCTGTTAAAATAAATGATTCTTTAAGTAAATCAAGATGTTTGTTCATCGAAATGTTAGCCAGCTCCTTCCAAAACCATCTGGCCAGATAGCACCGACGTAATTGAATTTACCTTTTCTAACAGGTTTATGGAGACGCACGAGCTTGGTTTTCCCTCACGTCCCATGAAATCCATAACCTTTTCCTTGTCTGGAATAGAAGGTGTCTCAATACCTCTGTTTCATTACAATGCGGAATTTATCTCCGACACAGGTTTGGTTGTGTGAGCACCACTATTCCAATTTCCTCTTGGGTTTTATGGCAACTTTTAAATCGAGTGCTCCTTCACACCTTTATGACCTGTGTATCCTGTATGGTTTGATGGCAGCCATTGCAGTATTTTCATCATCTTCTCCCCCACTATGCTTCAGTCAGGCTAGCTATGTCAAAGTCTTTTCAAACCACCGAGCAGTCTACTCCGACTATTTTTATGTCATGTTTCCACACTGGCACACAGACTTTCTCGTTTTGACCACACGCCTATTTCTCATTCAAATCTCCAGTCCAACATCTGGTTGCTCTTCCAGCACCCACAGCTCTGTTCCCAGCCTCCCCCTGCCCCACACTCACTGAAAATCACCCCATGCCCTCCAGCAAAAATGGCCATATGCTCCAGGTGCACCTCAGCTCAGCCTCAGATGCCTCAGCCTTCTCCCAGCGCTACTTCTATCGCTCCTCCCAAAACCTCGTCCACTTCCTGTGCCACCACTCCAGTTCCTCTTCAGCTGGAGAGGAGACCAGCCTCCACTGCAAAGCAATGACAGCTCACTATTGACCCTTTCTATCGTTTTCTCAGCATGCATTAAGACTTTTGGAAAGCTGCACCTTGATATCCTGCATATTCTTTTCTTCCCAGGCAACCAAATATAGTTTCTCAAGTATCTCAGCTTTCCATACCCGAAGATGACAGCCCCAGGACTGCCCTAAGCGCTCTGATATCTTCCAAGATCCATTTTTCCATCTATCAGATGGACCACATCATCATCAGGAGCGGAGCCCATCCTTCCCTCCATCAATCCTCTGTGTTTGTCCATCCCGAAGCCACTTCCCCGCCCTCTGACAGCCCCTTTCAGCACACAGAGAACCACACAGCCAAGGCTTACACGAAATTATAACCTGCCCCTCAGTCCTGGCCATTTCCGAGTCAAATTTCCTCAATCAGAAGTCAGTGTAGAGGTGAGGACAGACCACGAGCACCTGCAGATGATTTAATTTGCTATTTTTTCCACCAGCTCAGCAACTCTGCCCTCAAAACGCTTTCGGGAGCTCACAGCGTAACCACTCACAGAGTGCATCCTTTCCACACTTCTTTTTGCTGTAACTAGTCTAATCAAGCTGATATTCTTCCATTTCCATAATTAAACTAGGATTTTGGCTTTGTGATCACATAGAGTCCCTATTTTTAATTACTTTTAACCAATTAGAGACTTTCATTGGACACAGTAAGTTACACGTGGCCTCTCAGCAACCTGCACGACTCACTTAGTAGGATTTCTATTGACAGATGAAGCTTGAAAGCTGCTTTTTTTCTTTTTTTTTTTTTTTTGAACACAGCATTGTCCGAAGACGTATCCGCAAGCAGATTATTTGCATTCATGATAGTAGAGCTGACAATTACATTAATTTGCAGTGCTTAGTTCAGAATTACTTGTGCTAGAAGAATAATCCTAAATATCTAGACCCTGTTGTGTTGAAGAACATGGTTTAGTGAGTATTCTGTGACTTAGAGACCTGCTTGTCTGGTCAGGCTGCACTCCAGCAGCGCCTGGCAAGGGTGCCCATCCTTTATTGTTCAAATAAAATGATATTTTTAAGAAAAAGAACCGTATTTATGTGGTTATAACCCTGTACCTGACAAGACTCTGGCTTCTCTTCTTCACTTCTGGTGCCGTTCACACAACATTTTTCTTCAGTTGACCTGCCCACACAGCTCCTGATAAGCCAATGCTATGTTGCCAGCTCTCCTCATCATCATTTGAGTGGGAGGTTTAAATACCAGATTTCACAAAATCCTTCATCTACGCTTCCTAGCCCCATGGTTTCCTGAAGCACTGACAGATCAGTAAGCCTTCACAGTTTGCCCAGAAATGTGAAAGCTGGGCCTGCTGCTGCTGATGGGGTGAGGCGCACAGCCCTGGGAATGGGTCTCGAGGTGGTACATGAGTCTCGAGGTGACACAGGCTGACGAGGTGACACGTGCTCCTAACATGGCCTGGCTGAGATCCTCTGCCTGTACAAACACCTGAACAAAAGTCAAGCCTGGGAAAAGCGCATTCCAAACCTCAGAAGACTACAGCACTAAAGCCAACAGCTTCCATTGCACTCACCAATTGTGGTGCAACTACAGAGAAATGGAAGATACTCCCTTGTGAAACACTACAGACGGTCCCACCTGGAGGTGTGGGGCATGCCAAGCAGTGAAGCTACCCTTCAGATGGCAGCGATGCCCTGAGGTGTCCCGCCCAGACAGGTGCTGCCCAAGGCATACGGCAGCATGCCTTTCTACCCAAGCAAAGGTAGAAAGAAAAAACAACTTTGTCCCCAGCCTGTGACCAGAGTAATGCACCGGCTGAAGGGTGCTGCAGATCTCACAAGCACCTGGTGATCTGAGCTTGATTCCATATCAAGACATTCACCAGCAACAGAAAGAAAGAAAGGAAGAAAGGAAGAAAGGAAGAAAGGAAGAAAGGAAGAAAGAAAGAAAGGAAGAAAGGAAGAAAGGAAGAGAGAAAGGAAGAGAGAAAGGAAGAGAGAAAGGAAGAGAGAAAGAGAGAAAGAGAGAGAGAAAGAGAGA